AGAGAGAAAGAGAGAGAGAGAAAGAGAGAGAGAGAAAGAGAGAGAGAGAGAAAGAGAGAGAGAGAAAGACACAGTGACAAATAGAAGGGGGGGAGAGATAGAGACAGGGAGAGAAAGTTTTTTAGTTTTAGTAAGTGTTTTACAACACTTGCAACACAATAAGGTTATATAAGTGCTGAAGATTACAAATGTTACAAGAGAGTAACAAACACAAAAAAAGGAGGAGAGATAATGACGATAGATGTTTGATAGGAACCACCCACAGGGAGAAAAAGAGGCAGAGAGAGAGAGAGAGAGAGAGAAAGACAAAAAGACATAGAGACAGAGATAGAAAGAGTACGACAAGAGAAGAGAAAGGAGAGTGAGTAAAGATCACAACTAGAAATATTTCTAACAATTTTTTTACCAAAAGTCAACAGCCGCAATTTCCCACACAAAACATAAAAACATAATGTTTTTCCAAAAAAAAAAAAAAAAAAAATTTGGCTTACCTTCTACTGCTTGGGTTTCCCGTTGCTTGGTGATGAGCAAAAATCTGGGACTCTCGGGGCAAAACGGTAGGATCAGTAACTGAAGCAGACAGGGGAGGATTGGCAAACCTGGGAACAGTGCACAGTTTGGAGTTTCAGATTTTTTAGTTATCACAAGAAGTTTAGTGGCGTCGGTGGCCTAGTGGTTAGACTACTGGACTCGTAATCGTGGGGTTGTGGGTGGTTTGGGGGTTCGAGCTGCGGGCCCGACGTTGTGTCTTTAGGAAAGACGCTTTACACAATTTTCCCCCATTTCACCCAGGTGGGGATGGGTACCCAGCTATAGACAGTGAAAGATCTTGTCAGTTTGCTAGTGTTTGAGCGCATAACCAGCTGCTTGCACTGTATGCTTCCCCGGAAGCTGAGAATGTTTCTGAGTGTTCTATGGTCTGCTGAGGTAATAATATAGTGTAAAGTGCATAGAGCTCGCTTTCGAGAGGGGACATGCGCTATACAAATGCTATATATTATTATGATTATTATTAATACTACTATAATACAACTGAGACAACAAGAGCTAGAGAGAGAAAGAGGAAGAGAGAGAAGAAAGAGAAAGAGGAAGAGAGAGAAAGAGGAAGAGAGAGAAAGAGGAAGAGAGAGAAAGAGGAAGAGAGAGAAAGAGGAAGA